TATATACTCGAAAGAATAGAAGACAAAATAAAGACTTACAGAGTAATTTTTAGATAATAACATTGTCTCATGCCCATGAACCATGTTAGAACTAAGATAAAGTAGTAATATAAGAGTCCTTTATGTATACATGTACTATCTGCAGAAGAAAAAGCCCCAATTTAGTGTCACAAAAAAACTAATAAAAGACAAAAGTGTTTCTCTTATTCCTACATTTTATTGCTAATTATTATAGAATTTTAAAGATATATTTCCATCATTCATAATGTTTCCCTTCCCTTGAAATGACATCAAATAATACTGTAAACACAAAGAAACCAAATCTACCATTAAACATAATTATTTCTCGCATAACACAAATAAAGACGTCACAATTGAACATAAGAAAAGTGAGTAAAAACATCTGCTTTGTCTGCGTTTCCCAGAACATCCAGGAGTGTGTGTGTCTGTATGTGTGTGTATGTGTGTGTGTATGTGTGTGCGAGCGTGGGTGTGTGTGCGTGTGAATGTATGTGTTTGCATGTGTATGTATGTGTGTATGTATGTGTGTGCGAGGGTGTGTGTGTTTAATAGTTAATCAGGGCAGGTCACCAGGGTACAGGGAAGAGAAAAGGGGCAGGACTAATTAAAAAACACACAACTGAACGCAGCGGAGGAAAAAAACACCGCCCCGGAGACGGCCATAGCAACGGGCCGTGGGCAGAGCAACATACACCAGTCCTTTGCATAGAAAACAGAAGCAATGCAAACACTGCCCACGGAACAAACTGTGCTAACCCCAGAGGAGCCAGCACCAAACCAACACACAACCTCTACACAACTCTATACAACTCTATACAACTCTATACAACTCTATACAACTCTATACAACTCTACACAACGCTATACAGCTATACACAACTCTATACAACTATACACAGCCTCTATCAGATTAGGCTGGAGAGAGAGATGGATGATCGATGGATGTGCAAACACTAGGAGAAAGACCAGAGAGGACCGGCACAACACTAGGAGAAAGACAGTAGAGGACCGGCATAACACTAGGAGAAAGACAGGAGAGGACCGGCATAACACTAGGAGAAAGACAGTAGAGGACCGGCATAACACTAGGAGAAAGACAGAAGAGGAACGGCATAACACTAGGAGAAAGACAGTAGAGGACCGGCATAACATTAGAATAAAGACAGTAGAGGACCGGCACAACACTAGGAGAAAGACAGGAGAGGACCGGCATAACACTAGGAGGAAGACAGTAGAGGACCGGCATAACACTAGGAGGAAGACAGTAGAGGACCGGCATAACACTAGGAGAAAGACCAGAGAGGACCAGCAAAACACTAGGAGAAAGACAGTAGAGGACCAGCATAACACTAGGAGGAAGACAGGAGAGGACCAGCATAACACTAGGAGAAGGACAGGAGAGGACCGGCACAACACTAGGAGACAGACCGTAGAGGACCAGCATAATAATGAATAATAATAATGCATCGGTTTTATATAGCGCTTTTTTGGACACTCAAAGACGCTTCACATGTGTCATTATTCATTCACTCCATACACAGTGGTGATAAACTACTACTGTAGCCACAGCTGCCCTGGGGCACACTGACAGAAGCGAGGCAACCAGTCTGTGCCATCGGCCCCTCCAACCACCACCAACCATTCTTTCACACACCAGACTCATTCTAGGCAATGGGGGTGAGGTGTCTTGCCTAAGGACACAACGGCAGTTTGGCACTTTACAGCCGCAGCCGCCCCACTGTGGCTCATGTTCCCAGAGGTTAAGGACACAACGACAGTAGTCAGTGGGAGTCGATGGCAGAGGTGTGGACTCGAGTCATGTGACTTGGACTCGAGTCAGACTCGAGTCATGATTTTGATGACTTTAGACTCGACTTGACCAAATATAAAAAGACTTGCAACTCGACTTGGACTTTAACATCAATGACTCTGACTTTCACTTGGACTTGCGCCAATTGACTTGTAAAGACTTGCGTAACCCGGGCCATTTTTACCTTTCTCCGCATCTCTCTTTCTATCTATGCCGTCTCTGAAGAAACAAAGCCTCGCGGTAGTTGTAGCGCTCGCGAGAGAGTTCGAACGTGAGTTCCCCGCAGTTCGCGCAGCAACACTTCCCTAAACAAGCGGACTGCATTCACCGGTGGGTGTGTTGTCTAGGGGAGCTGGAAATGAGCGAGCTGCAGGTATTTATCGCGACCTAACGTCATATTTTGTTCTACAAACCGTAATTGATATGCTTTCACTACAGGCGCCTCATACAATTGAATCGACGCAGTTGTCACACTGTGTGCCGTGTTTTAAAGAGGAACTGGTGAGTCAAACTAGCGCTAGCCTGCGCTGCTCTGTTGGCTCTTTCTTATATTTTTCTGTGTGGGCGCCGAGGCCTATTATTATGAGTATGTTTTTGCTGTGCTCCTCCTGCTAAAGTTTGCATACATTAGATAGTTGTTTTGATTATGTGCACTAAGCTAGATTAATATTTGCACTATTTTTATGGTGCATTGATATGAGAATCAGTGCTTTGACTGATTGAATTAATTTATATGAGACATTTTATTATGTAATGATATATTGGTAATTATGAGATATTGCTAATGCTGGTCCAGTTGATGGCGAGCTGCCCCAGGTCCAAAGCCTAGACCCCTCATACTACCCCTATTCTACAGTAGGACATTTGGAACAATAACCACTACGGACATTAAACTGATTATATAGATACAGGTCCTAGCCCAATACTCATATTCATATATGCTGCACTTGCTACTTCCCATTAAAAACCCCAAAGATAAAAAGTATGTTGACGCGGACTGCTCTGATTTTATGTGTGGTCTGTGCATGTGTAACTGAGCCTGCATCTGGCACAACATCCAATTAGATCACGTAGATAGTTTTGATTTATCAGCAGCCAACGACATGGAACAAACTGTTAGTCCATGGGTCAGAGACCAACGAGAATGCACCAGCAAAATGATTCCTAACATTATTTTGTTTGCCTACAAAAGTACGTGGAGACCAACAAGAAACAAATCGCGGTCAAAAAGACTCGAGAGGACTCGAAAGTCAAACCGTAGGACTTGGGACTGACTTGAGATTTGTTGGCCTTTGACTTGGACTCGACTCGGGACTTGCCTGTCTTGACTCGTGACTTGACGGCAATGAATTGAGACTGACTTGTGACTTGCTAAACAATGACTTTGTCCCACCTCTGGTCGATGGTGAAAGTCTTGAGCGGGGCTTGAACCCACGACCTTCTGGCTCAAAGGCCAACGCCCTACCAACTGAGCTACTGCCGCCATAACACTAGGAGAAAGACAGGAGAGGACCAGCATAACACTAGGAGACAGACAGTAGAGGACCGGCATAACACTTGCTTACACATATGATTTAGAATGTAGAGACTGGATACGGCCTCTTTCTTGGTCAGTCATGCGGATCGTGTCGTTGCCGGCAATGAAATGGGTAAATACTTGATGAGGTGAAAGTGATCTGGAAGGCTGTATTCGTAATTAAGGTCTCCAGTGGACGAGCGTCACCGTCCGATACAAATAAAGCCTTTTTTTTTTTTTACATGTGTGAGTTTTTGGCGTCGCTTGTGAGAGATCTGAAAGCTGCGTTAATTAAAGGAATGATTAAACTTGTCCGTCCAGCATTGTGTGTTTCCCACAGCGAGAGCGGAGCGGTAATGAGGAGCTCATTAGCAGCTTGTAAACAATAACATCTCTGTGGAAGATCGGACAGAACAAACTGTGATGAGACCCAGGGGAGACCAGGAATCTCTATTCTCAATCGTATTAAAGGGGACATACTGTGGATACTTTACTCAGCTTTTGACCATGTTTTAGCTTTTTGCTAACTTGATCTGGGGTCTGAGCGGACTAAAGAACTTGTCTCATAAAAAGAAAATGTTTTGTTTTCGATCAATATTGAGATTTCAAATGTACTAAATGTATGATGCTGGTAGAATAATGAGCCACAGGTGTCAGATTTGTACTTTAAAACAATCAGGCATCATATGTGTCCAGTCTATATTGAATCACATGAAGAATATTATCATACCATCTCTGCACAATCCCGTCATGTCCCCAAAAAGCCAAGCGGAAAGCAACTTATTACATATATACACTTACTTTTTCTGCAAAATCATTATGTCTGAATTTCAATCAACCATTCAATTAGGAACTGAGTGAACTTTTTCCAACTCAAAGAAAGTATGAGCTCAGAACATTTATATCAAAGGCAAAATGTATCTCCTTTTTCTGTAGTCAGGTGTGTGCAGTGCTTTTAGTGTTTTCAACTGCTCGAGCACTTTGAGGCATGTGCTATGTACTTCTTAATCTGCACAGCACTAGCACTTTAGTCCATTTATGTACTTGGTTGCCTATTGTTTAATACTGTTTTTAATTGTGTTCTTTTACTGTATATTGATTTCTATCCTTGCACTGATGGGGCTGTGTATACTACGGCATATTCTTGTTTGGACGTTGAGAGTGTCTTGTGTGTTTGTGTGTTCGTGTTCGACATCTGTGAGACAAGACACATTTCCTTGAGGGGACAATAAAGTTGAACCTTGAACCTTGAGAGTTCTGTCTGTGGAACAGCAAAGAACTCTTTGGACGAAAGTAGACAATGCATCATTTGTGTATCATAGTTACTTTAGTTGTTGTAATGAATGGTCTCTAGAAAAGAAAGTATGAGGGATAGATTTGATATACCACCATCTATTGTGTGTACTAAATGCACTTGTAAATAGTAGTAGTTTTAAGAAATTTTATGAATATTATGTTTTCTGCATGCGTTATATCTATTTTTGCTTTTCTAACTTGCTTGCACTTAGAGCCAAAGCCATTTCCTAGTTTTTGACTTCATGTTACTTACAACGGCAATGAAAATATGTCTGATTCTAATTTGACAGTTATGATCATAGCACATTTCCCACCCAAACCTCCGTCTCGTCTCACGTCTCCCCCACGTCCTCTCACCTTGTTCTTGCCGGCGCTGCTCTCCACGTGCCTCAGGTTGCTCTTCACCTTGAGGAACTCGGCCGAGGTCTGCTCCTTGGGCGGGGCCTGCGGGGCCGGGAAGCCTGGCGGAGGGGGGGGCACGGGGGGACCTGGCGGAGGAGGGGGAGGGGGGTAGCCGGGCGGCGGGGGCGGTGGGTTTGGGGCCTTCGCTTGTGTGTCCGGGTTGAGCATGTCCATGTAGGCCTGCATGTCTGATATGGAGGAGTCCCCTGGAGACAGTTTTCACAAAATCACGTTTTTTTCCTCCACTGAAATAATATCACCTCCTAATATAGTTTTATCTGCAGCCTCTTGTTTTGGATCTTCACCATAGACTTAACCTAGAGTAGTTGGTTTGGTTTGGCCACCAGGGCGCAGCACCGGTTTAACACATGAATGAGCATTGGCATGATCTTTTAAAAATCTAAAAACAGATTCAGCAAATATCTCTCAAAGACCAAAAATAACTAGTTTACTACTGTCACTGATCTGGGACTACGTCTAGTTGTTTAGGAAGATTCCTCTTGTCTTCTTAGTAGATAAAGTTTGGTTCTTCTTAATCAGACACATAATTGTTAGATAGATTAAGATTAAGAGATTGTTTATTTGTCCCTCAGTGAGGAAATGTTGGTGTTGCATCACAAATTACAGAACAGTAGGAATGAGGAGCACACAGCGCAAGAAGATCCATGTCTCAAAATGTGAGTTTGGTCCAGATCAACATTTGTGAGTCACAGACTTGTAATGGACACGTTATATTCACAGGTGAAACTCAAAAAAATCTGAAAGTCGTTCCAAAAAAGAACGTTTAAAACAAATTACAATTGACAATTTATACTTCATAGCTTAATTACAATGTATAAGTTATAACTTATTATGTGCAGCCGGAATATGACTCATTCCACGCACACTTTAGATATACCAATCTTTTTTTGTTATAATCTTGATAATTGACTCACAGCTGTAAAAACCCAAAATAAAAGATCACGGAATATTAGAATATTTTGTACTCAACCTAAGTTCAAGCAAATATTACCTCATATTTGATCATTTTTGTAGTGTCACCTGCATAAGTAAGATCTCAGTCTGTACCTGCGCCTGTGACGGCCTGTGCAGTGGGTTCCTGAGCGTTGGGCCCCTGAGCGTTCCCGGTGCTGCTCCTCTTCTCTCCGGTGCTGGACTGGCTGGAGTTGGCTGAGTCGTAGTTGGACAGCGAGCTGGAGGAGCCCGTGTGGAAGGGCGCGGGGGGCGGCGGCGCAGGGGGCATGGTGGTGTTGGGGGACGACAGCCCTGAGTCTGGCTGCTTGTACTCCAGCTCTGTGGACGGGTCCCGCGACAGGACCCGGTGCTCTACGCTCTGAGGGACAGGCACACGGGGAGATCATGAATGTAGACGTGTCTCACAAGGTTTAGGCTGGGGGCTATTGTAATAATAATAATGTAAATGTACAAATGCAAGACAAATGCAAGACAAAATATGCAAGCGATGCGGCCTTGTGTAGGTCATGTGGACTCCAGTCGAGTATTTGTTGTTTGGACTAACTAACACCTGGGCTTGGCTCTTTCGATGTGACGCAAATTGCAGTATATGAAGTTTTCTCTGTTGTCATTTGCTCTGAAAAAACTGTCAAAATGAGAATAAAACTTCCAGAGTACTGTGGTGCGCAAAGATCCTGTCTAAAGTCGTTATTTTTCAACAATATAGCTTTTCTGGACCTTTTTCCATTCACTCCATAAACTATTCCTGTAGCCACAGCTGCCCTGGGAGAGACTGACTGAAGCGACTGTGTCACCCTCTGCTGCGACCACCACTGATCATTAATGCACAAACCACACTCATTCTAGGCAATGTGGGTGAGGTGTCTTGCCTCAGGACTCAATAGTTTTTGCACTACAGAGCTGCTGTGGCACCTGGTCTTCCCAGGGGTCTCCCATCACAGTACTAACCAAGCCCTGTCCTACTTAGCTTGTGAGGTCTGACAGGATCAGTGGGAGCGGTTGGCTCCATGTCTGGAACCCTGCAGTGACTTTCCATGAGACCAAAACAGATTCAGAGTCTGGTTCAGAACACGGCTGTTCCACACGTGTCAACGCTGCAGGGTGAAGGTTTGTTTTGCCGCGAAAATGACAATAATTTCCGCTCACCACAGCAGCAGTTCCAGCCGCGTGACATCACTTGAGCCACGATTGTACATGATTATAAAGATAAACATAGTTAACAATAATAATTGATACAATTAAATCATGTGAGCCTTTTTAAATTCAAATGTTCAAGATGATTTGAACTATTTCTGATATGACAAAGTCTATATTCGAAAAGTAAAGCAGTTGAAATCAGTTAGCTTGAGATAATAGAGATAATAGAGCTATAGCAGCTCATTGGGGACTCTTGCTTTTCCCACAGCCCACACTCAGTTGGCACGAGTCCCTCTGGACCAGAGCACAGCAGAGCTAAACCTGGACCTCTTATTATTCCAGGGTCCACCGGGGCCAGAGCCACAGGGGCCCGCTCTGCCAGTGTAACTTTAATTAGCCCAGAGAAACACACGTCCCCAGTGCTTTTGAGTTCATGTGTGAAGATTCAAAGTCACGACTGTGCAGGACTTTGACACAACTTGAACACAGAACGGAATGAGTCTATGGGTTTTGGGTTAAATAGACTTTTTTTTTACAGCAGCCTTGAAACGTATCACTATCACATGGATGAAAACAAGAGTCTAAACACCTGGACACAGAAAGTAAAAAGTCTATCTGATGGAAAAGATCCATTTATCACTGAGACTGTGATGGAGTTCTCATGTTGTTCACATGTTACTTAAAGAAGATTATTTCTGTTGGGACTACTCATGAATTGATCAGTCCTTGTTCTACATCCAGAGTCCTGCAGCGGATCCCTCTTTCAATGGGGGACTCCCCGTTTGGTTTCTCACTTTTACAGTGTTCAGCCTGCTCCCTGTGGACTAATGGCTCCTATGTGTTTGTTATCATTGTATTTACCGTGTTTGATCTGTTTGATTCTCCGATCTGTTGTTGGTGAATCAACAACTTTGTAAAGTCCTCTGAGGCGACTGCTGTTGTGATGTATGCTCATACACAAATTCATTGAATTGAAGTTGGACGTCATATTCTTAAGGACAGGATATTTTGAAACTAATTTTAGGACAACAAAAATTATATACAATATATACATTATTTTTACATGTTGTGAAGATCATTTGTTGGTGAGAGATGAACAACAGCATACCATGTTCTCCACGGTGCGCAGGTATTTGGCACACTGGGGATGTCCGTTGTACTCCGCCAGATCTGCTGCAGTGAAGCCGTCCTGGTCTCGAATTCCCAGGTCCACCCCATTCACCACGAGGATCTGGCAACACTGACGACAACATCGCAGAGACTGAGCATCAGAGACAGATCTATTACACATTTTCTCACAAACATAACATTTACAGTATTTAATAAGATAAGACAAACTTTTTTGGTTTTATCCTAGCGCTTTTTTGGACACTCAAAGACACTTTACATCATTTTTCATTCACCACATACAGAGTGGTGATAAAATACTGTAGCCACAGCATAGACGTAGTAGTCACGCCTATCTCCACCGTTCTAACTAATGGGCCAACAATAATGCTCTACTGGAGCTATACAAAATGGCCGCGAGTGGTCCCACCCACAAGAAAATTGAGAAAAAAAACGCATCTGCGCATGCGTCAGCCGGCGCAGCTCCATTCATTTGAACGAGAGACTTCAAAAATTCACAGCGAGTAAACTAGAGTGGTCCAAAAAAATCCACCCCCCTCAGCATTGACACACATGTGGAACGGAGCTTTGGGCCAAGAGCCAAGTTTTGGACCATCCTGTAAAGACGTTTTCGAGAGGTCTGCCAATGCTATACATGTATGTTAGCATTGGCTAATTCTTATTCCGGGTCCACCCCCATCGGCCCCGGGTGGTATTACAAGCATGTCAGCGCACGTCATTTTGGCCACTTTTGAGCCGGGACCCGCCCCCACTGAGCCACAGCTGCCCTGGGATAGACTGACAGAAGCGAAGAAATAAGTATGTGTCATCACATCGCTTTTGTTAGGACAACAATACTTTAAACAAAATATGAATAAACATAACTGTTCTAGTGTTCAAGTGTGATGACATAGATCCTTTTGGTTTCACCTCATTTCAAACTGTTTCCTGATTGGTGCAAAACTATCACTTACATTTGAATTACAACTTTACTCAAACAAAATATTTATGAAACACAAAACGCTCAGCTAGGGCTGGGCGAAATGGTTAAAAATAAAAATCTCAGATTTTTTCACACTAAACACGATTTTCAATTTTAATCGATTATTTTTTTCTATTTAAATACTAACTACAACTGACAAAGAAATAGATTTTCCTTCATGCAGTTTAATCTAAATTTCCCTATTGAGCACAAGTGTAACAGGTTGTAAAGGAGATGGCCCTGCCATTGTAAACAGCGAAAATGTAGCTTAACAGTTTTCTAATAATTTCACTTACAGTGACACAATGCACCTTCAAAATAACTTAAATGCACAAACGAGGGCCATAGCAAACATGTAAATCGTATTAAACACATTCATTATTTACATGAAATATCACATTTTTAAAACTAATGATTACTCTAAATACAATTGTTATAACAAAGAAAGTCTCCTTGGGTTTTGATGCTTGTTCTTTCAACAGTGCCAGAGTAACTGTGCTGTAGTACAACGTTCGGTCCAGATGGTGGCGCTAATACTAACTTCAGTAAGCTTCCGTTTCTCTTCCTGTTTACATTCTGCTACTGTAGCTAACAGCTACTGTAGCTAACAGCTACTGTAGCTAACAGCTCGAGCATGGAACACGTAGTTTGTATCAGAGCAATATGAACAAGTGTCAGACGTGTCTTTCCCCAAAGGGCAGCGGCTCAGTGTTCGCGCCGCTGGAGTAACGAGTGTGAGCGCTGAGAAATGAATGAATGAGAATGAAAGAATGAAAAGTGTGGCGTACGAGCAGAGCGACCTGAGACAGGCAGGATACAAGTGTGTGTGTTCTGGCGATTTAATAAGACTGATTCTTGAACGTCTGAAGTGTTATTGCAATCCTTGTGAGAGCGAGGGTCAGAACAAAAGGGAGACTGTTAGGCCCTGTCCACACGAAGTCAAGCTCAGGCCTAAACGCAAAAATACTTTATCAATCCAGTGTATCGTCCATACGAGGCCGGCGTTTTGGGGGGGTGTAAACGAACATTTTTGAAACTAGGTCCCAGAGTGGAAAGATTTCAAAACTCCGTATATGCCGCTCCGTGGTTACTGCCTCTCCGCAATGTATCTGAGACGCTTGCGTCATCGCCCCGCCTCTTGTTAAAGCACGCATGCGCCGCACTCACAAAATAATGACAACAACAATGTAGCTTGTTGGTTTTGTAATCCAGTGCGACCCGAAGCAACAGTTCAACCTCATCGTCCGTCCATACTAATGTAGTACCAGCTCGCCCACTCGCCATGTTGTCTGTTTACAAAATTCCGCGCATGCCCACGGAAGTTTGGGCTTGATCCCGTCATTGCGTCACAGCGCCACCAACAGGTCTGGCATAGTTTCACAGCGTTTTCAGGCGTATTGACTACATTCATATGGACGCACACATTTACTGAGCTAACTCCGTGTTTACAGAAAAAGTTTCTGAAATTATAAGCGTTTTGTCTTCGTGTGGATATAGCCTAGAATTAGGGAGATTTCTAGATGACTGTCCACGGTTAGCGAGTTAGTACTGTAAAAAAAAAAATCGATTTTCATTAAAAAGCCCTAAACGTCAAATTCGACTTCATGATTAAAATCGATTTATCGCCCCGCCCTACGCTCAGCTTTAAATAACACAAATTATGCATAATTTTTGGCAATTACAAATTATAATGAGACAATTTTCCTTTCATGTTTTAGAAAGTGAAGTAATATCTTATGTACAAAATCTATGGTGAAACTAATTTAAAATGAATCAAACGCAGTCAGGTGATTGCACAAAACGCAATTATACTTAATATAAATTACATTCAAAAAGTATAAAATGGCTGATGTTATAGTGCATTAACATCATACTGTTACAGAGACAGGAGCTTTCAGACAGAATGAAGAAGTCTCCTTTACCTCAAGTTCTCCGTTCTCAGCGGCGTCGTGCAGCGGCGTGCCCCCCCAACTGTCGGTGATGATCTCGCCGCCGTGCAGCAGCAGCCAGCTCAGGACTTTAGCGTGGCCTCGACTCGCTGCAAAGTGCATCGCTGTGGCCCCGTCCCCGTCTTTGTCCAGCAGGCTGACCTCTGTGAAGCTCACCTGGGGAAGACGGACAGAAAGAAAGAACATTTAAGCCTAGTTTTTCTCGCGCTGCGCGGAGCTTACGGAGGTGACGTGACGTCACTTGCGCAACGCGTTGGTCACCGCAAGGCCCTTACGTTGCCTGCCCTGCAGCATCGAAATTTTCTAACTACGCAAGGGTCGCCGCAAGCAATCTCCGCTGTGATTGGTCCGTGTGTGTGTATTGGAAGGAAGGACGGAGCGGCTGCAGCAGGGACAATGGACGAGGCACTGTGGAGCAGAGAGCTTTGTGCTTCGAAGGAAAAGCAGTTTGGGCTCAGAGCCTGATATACAGGAGACTGTGGACTATCTAACATATATATAACTTATAAACTGTGCAGTCGTTTGTTTTGCACTGTTCCTGTCTTTGTTTGAATCGTAGCTGCGTTTGGTGCTTTCCTCCTGCACTCGTAAATCGTTCATGTTTGTCTCAGATATTTACCACTATTATTGTTTTGCTGTTTGTGCTGAAAACTATTTAATAATAACTATGTTTCCAACAAGAACTGTGTCTTTATTCACAGCATCACAGTTGAAATGACTTATAAAATGACTTATAAAATAATTACACGTGTTTCTACCTGCAGTAGAAACACGTGTAATGAGCTCAAACAGCTTTGTTTGCTATTGTTGCTCTGAAGAGGACAAAGTAGCAGCGTAAATGGGATCGCACTCATGTGGTTTGTTGTGGGATTACAACATTCTACGTCATGGTGCTACGTCCCTTAGGACTTCGCTAGTGGGATATCACTCGTGACCCCCAGGTCACGCGCCAGAGAGATCAAAATAATTTTCTCCAATCACCAGCCACCTTCCTCTATAAATGCCCCTGCACAAGGCCGTACCCCCTCTTTCACTCTGGCGCCGATTGAGATCTACATTTCGATTTACCTGAGGAAAAGATGTCTTCTGATGATCGTCCGAGTTCCCCTTCGCCATCCGGCGTCGGACGTCGTCGTTGCTCGACTTGTCGGGTCAAGCTCCAGCGCAAGGACCAGCACTCCAGCTGCTTCGTGTGCCTGGGTTCGGGCCATGCGGCGTTGAGCGCCACCTGCGCCTCGTGTCTCGCTCTCCCCAGGGAGGAGAGTGAACGCAGGCGTGCGTACCTCGCCGCTACAGCGCCCCGTCCGGACTCCTCTCAGGACGAGGAGTCTGAGACTGACTGGGCCCCCCTCGACCTTCCACCCGTGCCCGCGGAGTGGGGTGACTGCGAGGACGGAGAGGTGTCGGAGGTCGGCTCTCTCCTCACGCTGGACGAGGTGGTGTCCAACCCGGAGCCGGACCGCTTCCCGCTGGACCACATGCCTGGGCTCTACTCCACGGCGGCGGCCATCATGGATGCCCCCCTGCCTCCGCAACCGAACCAGAGGGTGGAGGACTTCACCTCTGGTTACGCCACCACTCGAGGGAGGAGGAGGGCGCAGCCCACGTTGTGCCCGCGGATGGACCCGATCGTCCATTACGCGACACGTGAGTGGCCAAAGCCCCTAGCGGCCAAGAGGCCCGCTTTGGGGTACGGCATGTACTGCAACGTGCAGGACTGGTCCTGGACCGGCGGGGTCCCGGACATCGAGGACTCGGTTCGAGCGGCCCTGCACCCCTCCGCATCCGGGTGGCCCGGCACCAGACCTCTCCTTCCCTCCGAGCGGGACAGGATGTCTTTGGCGATGCACGATAGATGTTACGCCAATGCGGCTCAGGTCGTCGCTGTGGCTAACAACATGGCCTTCATCACCGGGGCCCTGGATAGGTCGCTCTCTTCTGGCCAGGCGCTCAGTGGAGACACCTTATCCCAGGCGAGGACCACTTCAGCGGCGATCCTGCGCATGTGCCAGGCGCTAGCTGTCGATGGCGGCCGCACGATGGCAGCAGCACAAGTTGGGGCCAGACACCTCTGGCTGGGGCTGGCGAACATCAGGGAGGCGGAGAAGAGGCAGCTGCTGGACCTGCCCATCTCCCAAACGTCGCTCTTCGGTCCGGAGATGCAGACGCTGATAACTAGGCTGGACACCGCAGCTAAGGACTCTGCTAGCTTAGCCCAGCATCTAGCTACGAGGCGCGAGGCCCGCCCACCAGCGCGGAGCCGAGACAGAGGCAGGGAGCGCTCGCCCGGCAGGCGCCCCGGACCATATCCACGCTCCGTGGTTCATCGTTCCCCAGCGACGAGGCCCCCGGGCCCAGACAGGCACACGGGAGGCTCGCGGGACCAACGCACCCACCGACGACCTCCCTATGGCAGAGGAGGTCGGGGTGGGAAGAATTCTTTCAATAAAAGCCGTCCGGCATTTCATCAGTACTCGCTGTCTGAGTCTCATTTGGGGGTATGTAACATGTCAAATGATCTGAATTCTGATTGTGTTACTTCTCGAGCATATAACGTGGCTCCGCTAGGCCTGCAGCCCCCAGAGAAGGGCGTGCAGCGTGCTACGCGGGCCACGGGCTCCGATTCACGGGTTCATGTTTTGCCCTCCCGGAGTGAGGGCAGGCGGAGGGATCTGGTGAGTGATAATGTGTGTGCTCCGGCCGAACGCGTGTTAGCATCTCTGAGCTACAAGGCTAACACGGGGTTTCCCACTCCAGGGGCTCGCCCCCCCCTCCATGAGGCAAGAGCCAGGGGGGGGTACAGCAGCCGAGTCACGTGTGGTGAGCAGAGCTACAAGGCTAACACGGGGTTTCCCACTCCAGGGGCTCGCCCCCCCCTTCATGAGGCAAGAGCCAGGGGGGGGCACAGCAGCCGAGTCACGTGTGGTGAGCAGTCCCGTACTTATGACGTCGGGCCTGCAGAACACGTGACCGCCCCCGGCGCTCACGGTGTGACGCAGGGGCCCCCCCGGCCCTTTCAGCCACCCCCCCTCCCTGCTAGGAACACCAGGAGAGGGCGGGGCCGTGACGTCTCGTGTTCCAGCTCCCGTTCCGCCCCTCACAGACTTCTACAGCATCTGGAGGGAGCAGGGCCTACTGACAGATATTTGGCTGGAGAAAACTTTGCGCAGGGGTTACGCACTGCAATTTTTCCGAAAACCACCACCATTCCGAGGCGTACGGGCAGTACGCTCTCAGGTACGGGGATCGATAGAGGCACTACAAGCGGAGGTCTCCTCTCTGCTGAGTCGAGGTGCAGCAGTGGAGGTAGACCCGCAGGACGCCACCAGGGGGCTGTACTCCCCTTACTTCTTAGTGCCAAAGAAGTCAGGCGGGGTGCGTCCCATTCTGGATCTGCGCGTGTTAAACGAGTGCATTTCCAAACGGCAGTTTCGGATGCTGTCCACAAGGCAGCTCCTCGAGTGTGTCAGGGAAGGAGACTGGATGACTTCCATAGACCTGACAGATGCGTACTTCCACGTGCCCATAGTACCAGAACACAGGAGGTTTCTGCGCTTCGCAGTGGGAGAGAGGAATTACGAGTACTGCCGTCTACCCTTCGGGTACGCACTCGCGCCTCGGACTTTTTCCAAATGTGTGGAAGCAGCTCTGGAGCCGATCAGACGCGCGGGGGTAAGAATATTAACCTATATAGACGATTGGTTAATACTGGCTTCATCCAGGGAAGTGGCCGTGAGCCACACGCACTGGGTCCTGTCCCACATACAGCGTCTGGGCTTTGTGGTGAACAGGGAGAAGAGCAAGCTGCAGCCAGCCCAACGCATGATTTATCTCGGCCTGCAGCTAGACTCTGTGACTTTCCGTGCTGCATTGTCCGTGGACAGACGGATGAATATTACCCGTCTGGCCCGGGAGGCTCTGGCGGGCCCCAGAGTCCCCGCTCGGCGCCTCAGGTCCCTGCTGGGAATGATGGCGGCGGCTCATGCTGTGGTGCGGCTAGGCCTGCTCCACATGAGAAATTTTCAGAGGTGGTTCTCGCGCCTCAGGCTTCACCCCTCCCGGGACGGGGGGAGGCTGATCTGGGTTCCCCAAGGGGCAGCATCGGACATCAGGTTCTGGCTCACTCCGGGTCTATTGCGGGACGGAGTGACTCTGGCCTGCGCCGTGTCTCACGTCGAGGTGTTCACGGACGCGTCGCTCGAAGGATGGGGCGGGGTCCTCGGCCAGAGCTCTGTAGGAGGCTGCTGGTCGGACTCAGCCCGTCACATCAACCTGCTGGAGATGGAGGCAGTGCACAGAGTACTGCTGCACTTTGCCCCGCAGCTGCAGGGGAGACACGTGATGGTGCGCTCAGACAACACCACAGTGGTCTCCCATCTGAACAGGCAGGGGGGCGCCAGGTCCCCCGCTCTCCATCGCATGGCGACGGTGACGCTGCTGTGGGCGGCGCTTCACCTCCTGTCTCTCAGGGCGCGCCACGTCCCGGGGGTCCGGAACGTGGGAGCCGACAGGATGTCCAGGGGGGGCCCACTCCAGGACGAGTGGGGCCTGGCCCCACGGGTAGCTGCGGAGGTCTGGCAAAGGTTTGGCCGTCCAGTGGTCGACCTTTTCGCCAGTGCAGAGAACGCACAGTGCCCGTCCTGGTTCGCCTTAAGGGCCGCGGACGAGCCGCCTTTAGGCGTGGACGCTCTGGCTCATTACCCATGGCCAGGCGGCCTGTTGTACGCTTTCCCACCGGTGCGTCTCCTGCCGGTCCTGCTGCGGAGGATCGAACAGGAGAGGAGATCGGTGATCCTGGTGGCTCCGGACAGTCCGCATGCCCGGTGGTTCCCCTTCCTGAGGGGCATGGCGGTGATGGGGCCCTGGGCCCTCCCGGACGAGCCGGGGGCTCTAGTCCAGGGGGCAGGAGCCCTGTTTTCACGCCCGATAATCGGCTGCAGGCTCTGGGCTTGGAGGCTGAGAGGCGGAGCCTCGTAGACCTGGGTCTTCCCCCTGCGGTGGTGGAGACCATTCAGGGAGCGAGGGCGCCGTCCACTGTGAGGGCCTACGCCACGAGGTGGAGGCTATTCAGTGTCTGGTGCGATTCCCGTTCCTGGGATCCCAGGTGTTGCCCGCTGGAGGGGGTCCTGGGATTCCTACAGGAGCTCCTCGACAAGGGGAGGGCTGTCGCTACCTTGGCGGTGTTCGCGGCAGCCATTACTTCGGGTCACGACGGATTCGGGGGGTTCACAGCCCGTTCTCATCCGTTGGTTAAACGTTTTCTGCGGGGGGCGCGCAGGAGGAGGCCCCCGCTCCAGAGAACGCCTCCGATTTGGGACCTCAGGGTGGTCCTTAGGGGGCTGTCGGGTCCGCCTTTTGAACCGGCGGCAGAGGCGAGTCCCGAGTGTATCGCCTTTAAGACGGCCCTCTTGCTGGCGTTGGCGTCTGCTAAGAGGGCGGGCGATTTGTGTGCGCTCTCTGTCCATGCGTCTTGCCTGTCCTTTGGAGAGGACGACGGCATGGTGGAATTGTGGCCCAATCCGGCTTTTCTCCCCAAGGTCATCACGTCGGCCTTTAGGTCGAGAGTCATCAGGATTAGGGCTTTCCATCCGCCGCCGCATGCCTCCCCCGAGGAGGAGCGGCAGCACCTTCTGTGTCCTGTCAGAATGCTGAGGCATTACCTGGCCATGACGTCGTCATTCAGGTTGGGTGATCAGCTGTTTGTGTGTCTGGGCCCCAAGAACAGGGGCGCCCCGCTGTCGGCTCAGCGGCTGGCGCATTGGGTCGCCACGGCTGTGCGGCGGGCGTATCAGACGCAGGGTCTGGCCCCCCCGGTGGGTTTCAGGTCGCATTCCACGCGTGGGATGGCGGCCTCTACGGCCCTTCTCAGGGGGGCGTCGGTCGAGGACGTCTGCCGTGCGGCTTCTTGGGCGTTGTCCTCCTCTTTCGTCCGGTCTTATCTTTCGGATGTGTCGGACCGGTCGGTGGCCCATTCCGTGCTGAGTGCAGCGGACTGAGTTAGACCGTTGGGTCCCTCCCCTGAGGGGGCCTTCGGTCTATTTCTGCCCTGGTGCAGGAGCTCTTGGGAGAGGCATCCTACAGGTGCGGTACATTTTTGTGTGTTTGGTCGGTCTGGTAGTCCACGTCAGGAGCTCTTGGGAGAGGCGTCCTGTGACTACGGATGACCTACGGCTTGTGTTACGTGGGGGTATCCTTGGTAGGAGTGGCCCCGTAACACGCTTGTTTCTTCTGCCCTGAGTCCTCTCACGTTGTGAGGGTCTTGCTCGGGCGGAGCTCCAATCACCTTTCGCTGGCCTGTTGGGAGTACATTTTCCTACGGCCTTCGCGTTGTGTCCCACTAGCGAAGTCCTAAGGGACGTAGCACCATGACGTAGAATTAATAGTTACTTAATGTAACTTAAGTTCTACGAATAGGTGCGTAGTCCCTTAGCTACGAGCCCATCAGGCCAGCCCGGCTTGGCAGAGTTCAAGAGGGGGTACGGCCTTGTGCAGGGGCATTTATAGAGGAAGGTGGCTGGTGATTGGAGCAAATTATTTTGATCTCTCTGGCGCGTGACCTGGGGGTCACGAGTGATATCCCACTAGCGAAGTCCTAAGGGACTACGCACCTATTCGTAGAACTTAAGTTACATTAAGTAACTATTAATTCTCCTCAAAACTCCGTAAGGGGAACGCGCCAGTATAACATCAATTGTGCTTACGTAGGTCCACCGCAACCGCTAACGTAAGCCACGCCGCGCAAGTATACACTAGGCTTTACTGTGTGTTTTCACAGCAGTATCTAAACAGAGCTCTCACTCCTACAGCCGCAAGCTGCTGTTTGTGCAGCAACCCTCCTCCTCCCTGTCATATTTTCAATGATGATTGTTGTCAAACCTCAGTGGACATGTCATAAATGTAATAGCACCTAATCATGCATCTGCCGGGTTTAATTGTCTAATGATGCAGCTGCCATGTATTCAAACAACCAAACATGATAGTAAACACAAGTCTAATGCAATCTTTGTCTTGAGTCTTTCCAGATTCAATAAACAAACTAGTGCTGTTACCAGAGCAGGCGGTCTGTCTAAAAACAACTACAGATGTGAGTATATGTAAAAAACTTTAAACAACTGGTTTAAAGTTGAGAAAAGTCAATGTGTAAATGACAAAGGGGAAAAAAATCTAAACGTCAATTTCATGTTTAAACCATTGCTGCTGCTGGTGTCCACTCAGTCACTGGGACGTACCAGCCACACGATGACCGTGTTGTGGCCCATCTGAGCGGCGGCGTGCAGAGGCGTCATTCCGTCGTTGGCCCTGATGCTGGGATCCGCTCCGCAGTCCTTCACCAGGAACTGGACCCCCTCCAGGTGGCCCTCCTGACAGGCCAGGTAGAGCGCTGTGGCACCGTTTTTAGTTTGCACGTTGACGACACTGCGAGGAGAAGGTGAGTCAGTCCCCAGATACAATATCAATACTAGAGCTGCAACTATCGGATATTTTGGTAATCAGTTATTCTATCAAATACACCGATCGATTAATCGAGTAATTGAGAGAAAAAATCAAATAAAACCATTTAATAATGACAACTGTATAAAATGTTTAAATACAATAATATGAATGTATACAGTTTATTGCATATTATCAAATGAAGTCAAGGCAGCAGGGCAGCAGACTATTTTCAATCATCGAATTATTTGAGTTATTAGATAAATCGTTTCAGCTCTAATGAATACTGTATATAATATATATTATACATATAATATGAATACTGTATACATGACCCAGATTACATAAGATTAGAGCCGCCCACACAGGCCTAACCCGAGACAGCAGTGAATAATTCGCAAGATTTTAGGTATTACAATGCTTTGATTTCTATGACATTATTAAAGTATTTAAAGCAGCCTGTCCAAACAAAGGCCTGCAGGCATTTTATGTAACCCACTGCCGCAAACACACCGTATTCTTTGATCATAAACATAAGTGTCATTTATACATTAACATTTGTCATTTGTCAAAATGTGGCCCACCTAATGCAGTGGGCCACATTTTGCTCTTGAGCCGTACAGACCTCCCTGGATTAAAGTCTAAATTTGTTTTTATCTCTAATCCAAGGCAAGGAAAGGTTTCATTGTATAGCTTGTTCCTGTATTGTATGTGTTTCTGTCTGTGTTTTGTGTGAATCCTCCCTATTCTATGTATGTGACAGTGTCTGTGGAAAGGAATTTCCCTCAGGGGACGTTAAAGGTCTATCTATCCATCTATCCATCTATCTATCCATCTATCTATCTCTCTATCATCGTATCTAATGTCGATAGAGGCTACAATTCCTTCTCTTCCTTATGAACATTTCTCATCCAGGCTTCTGTCTGGAGTCCAACAGCAGCTTGTGACAAACTACACGAAATCAAATGACTTCAGAATATTTACATTCAATGCAAAGTGCAGCACACTCCTGGAGAGTTTCCTGTGTCCCTGTGACTTTAGCAAAAGCAGAGATGTAGGTGCAGTTCACGGGTCATCAGAATGAATGTCTTTTCATTGTCATCAAAAATTCTTGCGGCCTCTTCTCCATGAAACCACCTTTGAACTTTAGTAGTGAAACTAAAATGACGACTCATCACATTATTCTAAGCATACAAAAATAAAACATATATTTGATTATCACGCAATATCACAGTAAATGTTGTACCTTGAGGATCACATGGTTCTCAGGTTTGCATAAATTACATCATCAGATCTTTGCCCAGTTTGTGCACTATTATTTAAGTCTGCTGGTTCCAAAGACCAATGCACTTCCCCTGGATTGCACATAAATTAGGGCGGCCATTATCTCAGGTGAAATTATACTATTAATAATATGAATAATAATCATAATTTGAATAACCATAAAAATAATCACCATAATGATAATAATGTTTTGTTTTAGAAGCGCTTGTTTTTTTTTTTTTTTTACATTCTTTACAAGGGGTGTTACAGTAAACTGGTTCCAGAAAGGGCCGGAGTGGCTGCAGGAGCACAGCAGACTCCACCCATTTCCTCAGGTTTTCAGGTTAAGACTGGAATCACTCGAGGAAATTCCTTTATTCCTTTATCCACAATTACAGCAACGAGGTTCCAGTATTAAAGGGCCGCTACAAGACGCCATCGAAAGCGTCCAAAGGTTTGCAGCTTTGAGCGGCTTGAGAATGAACCAAACCTCGTCAGAACAGTTTGATAATCTTGCTCAAGTGAGGGAGGTTCTTGAACGTACTTGTGAGCTAGCTTGTTAGCACTGTCCATCTATATGCAGTCTGTGGCTCCACCACAGCCACAGACACAAACGCAGACATTATATAAGAGATCAGGGTGTATGCTTTGAGACCATCATGTTTACGTCCCCTCTGTGTCTGTCTCGGTGTCTATATTCAGCTGTTCTGCCGCACAGTGGGGGGTCAGGGAGTGAACAAGCGCCTTGCAGGTAAATCCCAGAAGGTCAAGCTTTATTTGGACTCTGGACAAACCAGCAGTGAGTGTGTGTAAAGAGGATTAGGCTGCAGCGGAATGACGGTTTCCTACAGAGATGGGCCTGGGCTTAAGTGGAGAATCGAGCCTTTTAGACAAACATGACTCGAGTATGTCTTGTGTTACTTCAGAGAGGAAAATAACAACAATATATTACTAGTTAATTTGCATAAACACAGAAGGGGCATTAGACAAATATTGTTTAAAAGTTTACAAATTGCTCTTTACCAAGTATTTTTTTCAAAGTCCAGATATAGTTTAGTGGCATGAAAAAAAATAAAATTTCACTTCCTCTTGAGCAAATCTTTTCAAATGTAATGACAATGAAAAGACGGAGATGGAGATTTCTGTTTTTGCAAATTAACTCTTCATTTATACAAATGACAAAGAACATGCATTAAAAATTACTGAGCCCCAAAATACACAGAATCTATTCTACTTGTGGCCCAGGGAACCATTCCGGCCTTTCCCAGATCTGTTTTTTAAAAAGTATTTTCTTTGTGACAGATATGCTAAACCTATAGGATGGCTTCATTCAACACCGTTTTAAAATGTTTCATGTGGATCTCCCCGAGGTTTCTCCCTTTTTTCCCACTGGGTTTTTATGAGTTTTTCCTTGTCGATGCAGGAGGCTCTGTTGGACAGTTAGTGTCTAACAAACAGGACTGTGGTGATGATCCAGGACACTTTAACATTCTACAACATGTATGGACATTTTTTAACATGTGTTCCAGTGTTTCCCACACATAGACTAATCTGTGGCGCACCGCCACAGATTAGAGACCGCCCGCCACAAATTGCGTTTCGTATTATTATATATATATTTTTTTTGTTACGCTATTTAAAACATGCATTGTCTAGTGCCGCCGCAGCGGTCAATTTGACAGCGGGGAGGGGGGTTTAAAATGTGGCGGCCCTTCGTAACTCTCACTCAAGCTACGCGTCTCTCCCACATACAGAGACCTACACACACACAGCCCCTCCCCTTCGTGCACACCGCGTGTCTCCGTCTCCATCAGCGATCATCGCTGTAAGCAGCTGTGTCTATTAATTTACCGCGGTAAAGTGGCCCGCATCTTTCAGCTCTATGAACATGCGGCCCGCATCGGGGAAAAGACGGTGCGCGTTTTGTTGAGAACTTACGGTAACAGCGGAACGTCCTTTCGGAGTCACCCTTTTTTTTCGAACAGAAAGCGCGCTGGGGTCAGGGAGACACGTTTTTGTGATTAAAACCTTATAGAGATGCCACCCGGCACACATAGCACCAGCCCCCTACGATTCCTCCGGCAGATTGTGAGTCCACAGGAGGATAGCCACTCTATTGTTTACATGTATAAAGTACACAATTTGGTCCGCTAGTGCAATTTTCAAGTATTGTAACTATTTACTGGAATAAGGTGTGCGACTAATTTCACTTGACTCATGACCTTATTATTGCCCTCTGCCACTGTACCAAAGACCAGAAACTTTTACTGTAGAAATATTGAGAAATATTGAGGTAAAGTAGCCATTTTGGTCCAAAATACCTCCAAAATAGTCAAAACATGTCACTTTTGATCTACTGTAACTTTTTACTGTAAAAAGGTGTGCGACTAATTTCACTGGATTCATGACCTCAAGATTGTCCTCTACCACTGTACCAAAGACCAGACACTTTTACTGTAGAAATATTGAGAAATATTGATTTAAAGTAGCCATTTTGGTCCAAAATAGCCTAAAAATGGTCAAAACATGTCACATTTGATCTACTGTAACTTTTCACTGTAAAAAGGTGTGCAACTGATTTCACTGGATTCATGACCTCAACATTGCCTTCTACCACTGTACCAAAGACCAGACACTTTTACTGTAGAAATATTGAGAAATATTGAGGTAAAGTAGCCATTTTGGTCCAAAATACCTCCAAAATAGTCAAAACATGTCACTTTTGATCTACTGTAACTTTTTACTGTAAAAAGGTGTGCGACTAATTTCACTGGATTCACGACCTCATGATTGCCCTCTACCACTGTACCAAAGACCAGAAACTTTTACTGTAGAAATATTGATTTAAAGCAGCCATTTTGGTCCAAAATAGCCTAAAAATTGTCAAAACATGTCACTTTTGATCTGCTGTAACTTATTACTGTAAAAAGGTGTGCGACTAATTTCACTGGATTCATGACCTCAAGATTGTCCTCTACCACTGTACCACTGTACCCCACTCCCCCCCCCCCCCCCCCCCCCCCCCCCCCCCCCCGCCGACGACCACCACACATTGCCTTCAAACCTGTGGGAAACACTGTGTTCTACATTCTTTATGTGTCTTACCCGTTTCTGCAAAGTCTGAATGTTTAGCACCGCCCCTCAACTCGCTCACAGGCTTCTCATTTCCCCTACGCTCTCATAACACGGAGACATCTAGTTTTATTTGCGATCTGATACATATGCTAACATTACCATGAGCGCAATTTCTTGTAAGCTGTACAACAATCACTGATGAAATGGTACAAAAGCAACGCACTGCTAACAAAATATATAGCTGAAATATTACCGCTAGTTTTGCGTCCGAATGTAGTCCGAGGGTAGATAGTCCGAGGAGGTCCCGCAGGTCTCTCCCACAGACAAGTCTCTCCAGAGGATACGATGTAAGCTAGCTATGTTCACCCAGGCTTCATTTCTTCTTTGATCATTTTTTCGCTTTAGTTCCCTCTTCTCTTCCTCACTGTTGTGTTGTTTGGGCTGTTTTTCTGTTTCTGCAGTTACAGCAAGAGGAGTTATAGCCAATAGCGAACTATCTATATGACGTCACTAAGACACGCCCCCGCCGCCTGTCAACTCCCGCCCACATGTTTCGGACAAACACTGCCCAAATGAATCAAATACCACTTGTCACTTTAGACGAAAATGATAAACCAGGAGCAAAATTCCACCATCAAACCATCAGG